TCATTGTCTCCTTTCCCTTTTCTAATATATTAATATTTTATTTACCGGTATTATACCGAAATACATCTACCGATCTAACATTTTGATAGCATCATACCGGTATTCGCACCATTTCGGTTTCATCAAACGTAATCGAGTAGTAATCTAAAAATACCAGTATTTTACCGGTATGCGTAATACCGATTCGGTTTCTGGTTTCGAGGACCGAGTTTTGAACTTTTATTTTACTTCGTTTTTATTTTATTTCTCTCTCTCTTTCTCTCTCTCTCTCTCTCTCTCTCTCTCTTTCTCTGTTCGGAGAATTTTGTTTTAAATGAAACAATACACAGGGCTTGTTTTAATTTACAAGTGCAATTATCTCCAACCGAAACTATTCAGAATCGTTTAAAAACTGTATCAAATGTAATTCTTTTTTCGTAGGTCCCCAATTTTTTTGCAAACATAATTAATGTAACTGTTTTTACGTCAGTCGACGCCGGAGATAATTCTCTGTAAAAGAAAGAAAAGAAAAAAAATGTATTAACGTACGCATATCGAAAAGCTAGTAGCTTAGAAAATGTTTCAACTTTAATTTTATGAAATTTAATTGTCAATTTTAATTTGATAGCAGTTTCTTCATAAAATGCAGTTTTATATTTATTTACACAAAATTTCAATCCCAATCCGAACATTATATTGTTACGTACAACTGTTTCGTCCAACTAGTCAAAGTTGGGTGTAAATTTGTAGGAATGTTTCTCAACGATGCCATCCTCGTCCTTTCCCGTTGTATTTGACAAGACTTTAGTTATACTCGTTATACGGTATTCCGTTATGGTTGTCCCTTTTCGCTTTAGAGCATCATGAATTGCGTACGTTTCAGCCCTGGAAGGGAAACGTAACATTCTTGTTATTCGGGAACCAAGTCAAACAAGTCCGGCGAAGGCACCGCGAAAGACCAATTAACCCTCGGCAGCCGAAGAGAGAACAGAGAGAGAAAGAGAGAGGATCCATTGTCCACCCTAACTCGGTCGGTAACGGGCCGGAAACGTGGCCCAGTTAGTTGCGTCGTCGAGCAAATTGTCAAGCAAGCGGAGCATGCCGCGTGTTTGCCCTGCAATTAATGCGAGTCGCGCGAATCCTCTGGCAAATAACCTTAGGGGTGAGAAAGGAGAAGAGAGAGAGAGAGAGAGAGTGAGAGAGAAGGTGAGAAGGGCGGTGAGGAAACTCATCGGATCGCGTTGCAGCTCGGACGTGAAATTGCTTTGTCAACCGGTGGAGACCCTCTCGAAGGGACTCTGCAGACAGCTGGCCAGACGATCGTGAGACAATTTCGTTCGCCTGGTCGGTCACGTGAGATCCCGAGAAACGGGCAGCGTTTTCGAGAAATGGCCCGGGAGGAGGACGAGTAGTGTCTTCCTCCTTCGTTCGTGATAGTGGTTCGTGCCTCCGGAATTCATCCATGTTTTTCTCTCGCTAGATGAACTAATTTCAGTCGTGTGTCGCGCATAAATAAGTGTCGATTTGGCGTGGAAGTTGGAAGACGAGAATGAGATATTCGTCGATCTACCGAATGCCGGAGACGAGGCACGTTGTCTTGAGAAAGAATTACTCAAAGTATTCTGAATTCTTGAGTTAAAGTTCTTTTAATTTATCTGAAGTGGGACGAAGTAATTTTTATTTGAAAGTGCTGTAACCTCGCCGATTGTCGCACGCTATGAAGGTTAAGAGAGAAAAATAACAGTTCACGTAATAATTTCTTAAATCGTAAGGTATTTTATGTAAATATATAAAAATGTATTTTTATACTCGAGAGTAATACGATAACATATAACGAAATAAATATAATTATATCGAAGATATAGAATGAAGTAACATTTACGCGTTCGACAATTTTTGCCACTACGCGTAATTTGTTATGTAGAAGTGTACATTATCGCGAATGAAAAGAGACTACGTATCTCGCAGTTTCCCAAAAGTTTGCCATCCGCTGAACCACACGAAGTCCATCGAGGATCTCGGAGAGAATTGAAAGACGAGGACCGGGCAACCTCGCTTCCCGAAGATTCCATAATCCATAGGTTCGTGGGAAGTAAATAATATAGTAGGGTCCGGTGATGGTTTGGCCGCGCCGGATGCCAGACAGAGGGGGAGGAAGCGAAACAACCCTCCTCGCTCCGGTATATCCGGCGAATACACGAAACTCTCCCACTACAGCTCTTCAGGTTTCTTCGCGTTGTAGACGATTTTTGAGCAAATTTCCTTCGTTCCGAAATACGTTGTGTGAAACAGAGGAGCAGGGAATTGTTCGAATTGACGATAAATGAATGGTCGGATGCAGTCATTCTAACTCTGTGCGAGCTACAGTTATACTTCTACCCGAGGAAAGAAACAGTCGCAAACGATCCAACAAAATAACAATCGCGTTTTTCACAAGTTACCATTCTGAGATTGTTTTCTTACGAGTGATTCCTTTAACTCCTTGCGCTGGCAACTGGTACCGCGGACCATAACGAGTGACCGAACCCGTATACAATTAATTCGTCGCTCTCTCGTTTACTTTTGAACGCGACATCGCTGGATAGAAATTGTTGAAAAAGTAATGTACTTGAAACTGAAAAAAAAAAAATTCTCGACGCGCGTGGCACGTCGTGCCAGCGCATTAATTAACAAAACTGCGCTTTGGGTACCCTTCGTCGTCTTAACGCAATCCGGGAGGAAACAAAAGAGGAAGGCAGAGCTCTCCGCGTGCACGCGTCTGCCTAACAGCGTCTTATCGACTAAAGACCAGAGCGAAGGATTTCCATAAATATTCGTCAAAGGGTTCCACGGGTTTCACGGGAAGAGATTCGCGTCTTTTCTTATACTCGCTGGCGTGATCCTGCGGGACTCTTTGATCTGGCATTCTGTCTCTCCGATAGCTGCATGACTGGCAGATCCACCACTATCTCTCTCTCTTTCGTTTTCGAGCTTATGAATTATCTCGAAGCACCGGGGATATCGTATTTTCCTCGTTGAAAGATCGCCATACTTCCATCTCCTTGCGCGTGCAGAAGCTTTCTTCTTCGTCGCTTTGGTTTTGCCAAACACCCTATCGGGGAGGGGGAAATCGGTCGCGCGCGTGTTTGCGTCGTCCCGTTTCCCTTTGAAGGATCAGCCGAAGGAATTAGAGGAGTCCGCGTACCGGGGACTCTTGATCCTGTTACCGTCCGTACAATCGACGGTTAAACGTGTTTACAGAGTTGCAAGGATTTTAATAATCCACCCTGGGACCCGGTGCAACCGGGAAGCTGGCTGGTTTCTTGCGAGAGAGGTTTTAAGGTTTGGGGAACGCGCGAGACGGTTTGAGTCGAGGTAAGATCGACCGGAGGTAGGGAGATAGATGCGCCTTTGTCGGACCTCGGTTTCGCGTGTCTCTCGGCGAGTGGATGGCGAATTTTTTGACCGACGACTGTTGTACGTGGCGGAGATTAAGGGTGAGGAACTCGAAAGTTTTCATTTCTCTGTTTCGTTCGAGTGTGTCCTTAAAGTAACGTGAGTGAGAGCTAGATATATATGGAGAATTGGAGGAAGATGCCTCAAGATTTAGGGGTAGTAAATAATTTTAGATAAATTTCACTGAAATTGTTTTTAAAATAACCTGAGCCAGAGCTACGGATGGATTTAGGATTTAGGGGTAGTAAATAATTTTAGCTAAACTGTTTCGAGAGAATTAAATTGTAGTTAATAGCCTTGGTTAGTCTTTATTTATTATTAAATAATTAGTCTTTATTTATAATTAAATTGTGGTTAATAGTCTTAGTTAGTCCTTATTTATTTTAGCTAAACTGTTTCGAAAGAATTAAATTGTAGTTAATAGTCTTAGTTAGAGTTAAATAGTCTTTAATATAACATAAATCAAGGTTGAAAAATTGGCGGGAGATGAAATCAGTTTAGAGTTTAGGGGTAGTAAATAATTCTAGATAAATTCTACTTTAAAATAACATGAGTCAGAATTAGGATTTTAGAGGGTGATAAGTAATTTTATATAAACTGTTTCGAAATAATTAAATTGTAGTGAAATAGTCTTTAAACTGGCGTGAGTCAGAGTTAGGGATGAATTTAAGATTTAGGTGGTGGTAAAGAATAAATAAACCTAACCCAAACCTGAAATCAGAACTGAAGGGTAAATGGAATCACCTTAGGATTTAGGGATAGTGAATAATTCTAGACAAATTGCATTGAAGGTAATTACATTTCCACTAACGCGTGTCGGTTTCTCTTATTGTTTCAGAGGGGTAGCGACGAGCTTTTGTCGCAAAGCGGGGCAGTTAGCAATGGTGCTGCAATGAGTCCACAACCACATCACGCAGCCGACAACAACAATGACGCCAAGAAGGTGAGTAACGATCAACTTCGATGAGCTAATTAATCATCGTCCGTTCCGTTCGTCTCCGTTAATCCGATCGTTCAATTATTATTCGAGCTTACGAACCTTGATTATTTATCTTTTAACGATAACAGGCGCATAGGTTAGGGGTGTGGAAAATAGCCGAGCTCCAAGGGAGAAGCGATCGCGTAGCTTTGACGAATTTTCGTCCTTTTGACACGGGGGGAGAATTTCTGTTTGGAAAAGCGGAAGATCGAGTAGGTCAGAGGATCCGACACCTCTCCGCTCTTGTTTCAAATAACACCTGTTCGTCCGAATTTCTGTCAGACGTCGGCTGGTTTCCTGTTCTCTGAATGAGAGGAAAGGACACGCGTGTTACTTCGTCGAAGAATAATATTACCAAAGTTATAGTGCCGAGGGGCGAAACGATAAATTGGCAAGGTGAAAATAAACAAAATGAGATGATCTGAATCAAAGAATCGTCTGTGCGATTTATTTATTTATTTATTGCGAGCAGGCAAGGCGAATAAGAACGAACTTCTGAAGAAAGAATTCAACGACGTAACTTCTGAAGAATTTGTACACGTAGATTGATCTTCTTTCGAAACACTTGGGCGAATATTTTCCTTCAAGCTCCTCAAATTAAATTGCTACCGCTAATAAACAAGCTTCGTGCGTTTCTCTACGGCAAAAGCACGTTTAAAAATTGGTATCCCTCTGGAAATATCCCTGTCAGGATTAACCAATCGTTCCGTGTCAAAAAAAAAATCGTATCTATTTTTCACTGTCCTCCTGCGGAAATTTCCAGCAACGACAGCTTTGTAAAAATATCGCCCCGTCAGTCACGTCGCAGCTCCGACGATAACCGATCTTCGATTTTGTACTCGCGGCGCGGTGCTGCTCACCTTGACTGGGGAAATAATTATCAGAAATTGCGAGACACTTAACAGATCGTAACGAGGTCAGCCACGTCAGGGGATCTATATAATCTATAAATAATCTAACGTTTAATCTTTGTCTCGACGTCGCGTTCACCGCAAAAACTGATAATAAATAGTGTCTCGTGTCGACGAGAATTAATCGTTGGCACACCTGTTGGCCCCCAGAGCGCACATTAATTATGCGACCATCTTTGATCCATCGAGCTGGGATTAAAATTGAAGTCGTAGCGAGACCTAATCTAAACTACGATTCCTTAAGAACAAGTGAGAATTTTATTTAAAACTTGAATAAAAAAAAAAGGACTCGGATTACTTTCAGACTTGTCACTCGAAATTATTATTGTTATGAAGCTGTATGAATCTTGCTCCGCGAAACTTTTCAACGTGTTAAAATTATTCCAGAGTCTCAGTCGAAAGGAAAAAAGAGCGGTTTGGCTTCTTCGGTGTCGTTCGTCGAACAACCTTGTTGGCAAAAAGAGAGAAAGAGAGAGAGAGAGAGAGAGAAAAAAATTGATTTTCCCCCAGTGACCGAGAGTGAAAAAAGAGGAGAAGTTGGCGACGCCGATATAGAGGGTGGCAGAGGGAAATATTTATTATTGTCAGTCACGCGTGACGTTGGAGGTACGAAAAAATGTCGGAAGTTTAGGCGAATAGAGGCAGCTGTGTGCGCTGCTCGTAAGCTCTGTGGATGATGCACGTGCACCGGGTGCATCAAAACTTGCAACCCTCGTTAATCATTCGTCGTGCACGGCTGGGAGGTGGAGGAAAAAAGTGTAGAGTGAAACAGGGTGCGAGGGATGGTTCAAGGATTTCCGATTCTTGTCTTTTTATCCTGTGATGCTGACTCTCGCTGCGTTGCACTACATCGCTATTGCGCGCATACGTACATTTACATTTATCACTTCAACACTACCTATCTACAGTCAGTCTATAGACTCTGCGAATTTAGTTGCACTGTCTTCTCGAGAATATCGCGTTATCTTTTTTGAAAACACGACCGCGTCTCTTCTGCCACTTGCAGAATCAATTATCATCGTATATACGTATTGGTATATTTGTTTGTCATTTAATTGTCATGCATTAATTAACGAAAGTGAAATTGGCCGACGCTCGTTCGTGCAAAATTCGTTTCAAACAGAAAGAAACTGGCGTTTACAAGGGAGATGCCTCGCGAGCAATCCCGCGAATTTCTCTACCAGCCGCTAACAATCTCGCGCTATTTTTCGGCCGGGCGACAGACGCGTGGAGAAGTAGAACGTGTATGTTTTCAAAGTGAGAGTAGAGAACGCGACCAGGCTTTGTCACCGAATCCTCCTCCCCGGTTGTCTGTCCCTGTGTGTCGTTAACGATCCGTCGCCGTCGTCGTTCTCGCGAAAATCTCCCAGATCTCGCATGCCAGCCATAATCCTCCCCCCCCCCCCCCCCCCCCC